GTGTCAGATACCCTAAAACTGGAGTTACAGACAGTTGTGAGCTGCCATGTGGGTGCTGGGAATTAACTTGGGTTCTTTGGAAGAGTAGCCAGTGCTCTTAACCACTAATCCATCTCTCCAAGCCAATTATACATAATTAATGACGTTTCCTGTAGGGAGTGCAGGAAGCTGAGTGAATTAAGTCCTTAGTGAATGTGCATGGTTGACTTGGGCAGAGCCGTGTTGAGGACCTCAGGGCCTTAGGACCACGGCATATTTGCAAAGTCATTACCCATGCGGACTGGGCTCAGGAGAAATGGCAGCTTTCCTCAGGAATGGTTATGAACGACTGCTCAGCATGTGTGAGGACTAGCTCACCTACAAAGACCTCCAACCAAGACGGCTACCAAGACCCCTCGTGCTGCATCTACTAAGAATGCTGAGTTGGCGGTAGTAGCAGACCCCAGCTTCCCTGTGTCTGTCTTCCTTTCTTCATTCCTTTGCCACTCCTAGTCAGGGTTCCACCATTCAAGCTGCATGGGTGGTTAATAGTTTCCATTCACGTATACTATATGTTTTGATCATATTCTTGTCACCCTCGCTTGTCCTCTTCCCGTGACTTCTGACCACCTTCCTTCTCTACTGCTCCCTCCATGTGGCTTTTATTCATTTTCCAGATTAGCTGAATAATCTGTCTCTTCTCTTAGTTGTGCCCCGTTGAAGAATATGTCCCTATTATATGCAGAAGCTGCTACTGACAGGGAGTTCTAGATCCAACAGGATTACGGAATTATTGTTTCCAAATTGTTTAGCCCACACCATATCAAGCCAGGTATCCGGATATTTTGTGGCCTTGCACTCTGCCTTTGTTCCAACAGGGCTGGATGTCCAGGGTGTGCATATATATAGACTCAAGTCGCCATCATTGTGGCTAGCCTGGGCAAGCTTGAAACTGAATAGTCATATACTGTACACAGCACAGGGTAAACTCCACATTACAAAACAGGCACCAATTTCCAAGTAGCCAACAGTTGATGGAAAGTATCTGCCACATTAAAACCCTACCTTTCAGTAGGTATGGTAGCACAGACCTGTAGAATCAGCACTGGGGAGACCGACACAGGCAGACTGTAAATTCTAAGCAAGCCAGGGCCAGTCTCAGCCACATGAGACTCCCTTTCAAAACAACAAATCAGTGCTAGAGAGATGGCTCAGAGGTACATGTATACTGATCTTGTCAAGGACTTGAGTTCAGTTACCAACACCCACGTCAGTCGGATCACAACTGCCTGGAATGGCAGCTCTAGGGGATCTAGCAATCTTTTCTGGACCACACAGGTACCTGCATTCCCATGGGTACACTACCCCCCCCCCCTCGTATATATACATAATTTAAAAATAAAAAGTTTTTAAAAAGCAATAAAACTCCTGTTTCCTACTCTGGAGATTAATTTGGCCTTCAAGCACAGTATTAAGTTGAGCGAATTTCATTTGTTTTGTTTGTTTGTTTGTTTGTTTGAGACAGGGTCTCTCTACAAAGCTCTGGCAGTCCTAGAAACTCACTCTGTAGGCCAGGCCAGCCTCAAACTCACAGAGATCAGCAGTCTCTCTCTGCCTCTCAAGTGCTGGGATTAAAGGCGTGTGCCAATGTGCCTGGTAAATTGAGGCAATTTTAAAGGGAACATACCCAATGTTTCACTCTTAAGTAAGTAATGTTTATGGTAGAATTTTTTTTTTTTTTTTTTTTTCCCGAGACAGGGTTTCCCTGTGGCTTTGGAGGCTGTCCTGGAACTAGCTCTTGTAGACCAGGCTGGCCTCGAACTCAGAGATCCACCTGCCTCTGCCTCCTGAGTGCTGAGATTAAAGGCGTGCGCCACCAATGCCCGGCTGGTAGAATTTTTTTGTTTGTTTGTTTATACCTTTGATCAGTTCTAGGAAATTATCTTCAATTTCATGGCGAGTTACCATTATTTTCTGTTAGTGAGCTAAAAACTGTAACTAAAAACTACCTGAGATGACTTAAAAAATTTCTCACATTTGCTGTGTGTGTGTGAGCATGCACAAGCTCACCACCGCACATGAGTTCAGATCAGAGGACTACTCTTCCTTTGCACCGTGTGGATCCAACTCTGGCTGTCAGGCTTGGCGGCAAGTGCCATCACCTACTGAACCTCCTCACCCGCCCATCAACCAATTGTTAAGGAAGGAAAGTTTACTTGTGCTCATATTTTCTCATATTTTCAGGTTTCAGTCCATACTTTGTTGGTACTGTTGCTTTTTACTTTCTATTTTTCACATGTGAGTAATATGCAAGTGTTTATGTGGATGTGTGTATGTGTGTGCTGGGGAATTGTGTAAACGGATAAAGCAGACAGGAGGAGGAGGAGCAAGCCACCGCCTTACCTCCGTAGTGTCTCAGCAGACAAGAGAGTGAGCTCCTGTTTCTCTCTCCCTTCTTATATCCTGTTTCCACGCAGCTACCTCACTTCCTGTGTCTGTACAGACCTCCAGACCTCTATGGTAAACTAATGGCAAGCTCCAGTCTCTGACCTTCAGACAGGCTTTATTTGTACAAGCAAGATGTCACCACAGAATTGTTTCTTCAGATTCTGTGTGTAATGTGAACCCAGAGTCACATGACACACAGAAACTGAAGAGATCATTTTCATACTATGTTTACAAATTTACTTTTGCAACCTCTGGAGGCCTGGGGTAATATTACCCTCATTAGAGGGCTCCTTTTTTTTTTTTAGATAGGTAGGGTCTCATAAATTATCCCAGGCTGGCCTCTGCCTCTTGATTCTCCTGCTTTCTCACCTCCTGGGAGTGTGGATTACAGGAACACACCAGGACAACCAGCAGATTTTTGTTGTATGAGGGGTAAGCTAACAATTTGAGGTCACCTCCACATTAAGTTAGCAGTATTTTGCCATTCCTGTTTCATTTATCTGTCCCCAACTTTAAATTTTTAAAAATTTATTTATTATGTATACAACATTCTGCTTCCATGTATATCTGCACACCAGAAGAGGGCACCAGATCTCATTACGCGGATGGTTGTGAGCCACCAGGTTGTTGCTGGGAATTGAACTCAGGACCTTTGGAAGAGCAGTCGGTGCTCTTAACCTCTGAGCCATCTCTCCAGCCCCCAACCTTAAAATTAAAAAAAAAAATAATTTTTGAAGGTTTGTGACTCTTCCAGCCAGCAGATGCCAGTTGGAATAGTCTAGGTAAGTGCTGGCTTTACCCTTGACCCCAAAGGGCATGGAGTTCAGGATTCAAGTGATGGAAGGAACCCCCCCCCCCCCCCCCACAGCGACCACACTCTGTTTCAAGGGACATTAGACATCCATCCTCTCCCACCAGCTTCTAAGCTCTCCAATGCTTTAAATAGAAATGTGTCCCAATTATACCCCCTTCCCAAGCGTAGTAAGGTTATAAAAAAAACTACGGCTGGGTGGTGGTGCCTTTAGTCCCAGCACTCGGAAGGCAGAGGCAGGTGGATCTCTGTGAGTTCGAGACCAGCCTGGTCTACAAGAGCGAGTTCCAGGACAGCCTCCAAAGTCACAGAGAAACACTGTCTGGAAAAAACCAAACAACAACAACAACCTCTGGAGGCCTGGGGTAAAAAACCAAACCAAACCAAACCAAACCAAAACAAACACTACGTATTCTTTCAATTGATATTTTTTTTTTCTCTCCAATCATGTTTAGTTCTATCCTAGGTCTCCTGGCCATCCAGACTCTGGGTCCCGGCACTCCAGGCAGTGTCACGGGTGGGCTCTCTGGTGGCGTGGGTCTCAGGCTGGGTCAGTCACTGGTTGGCCACTCTTACCCCAGCACACCCCATCGGTAGGACAGACTGCAGGTCAAAGATGTGTGGCTGGGTTGGTGTCCCAATCCCTCCACTTGCCTGATCTCAGGAGATGGCCAGATCAGGCTATGTATCCACTATTACTAGGAGTTTTACCTGGGTTTACAGTTAAGGGCTAAAAACAAGGCATATGGAAGGAAGGGAAAAGCGTAAAGCAGCCACTGTGGGTGGCAGGCCAGCCTGGGCTACATGACACCCTGCCTCAACAACCAAGCTAAGGGCTATCTTAGTTCTACAGTATCTTCCAAAGCACTGTCTGGATCAAACATGCATTTTTATAACTAGGTTCTCACCAAGACCTTAGAATTGTTTGTGAGAAAAGCATGCCAAGATTCCCCCTGCTCCCCATGAATAGGATCATATTTTATGACTCATAACCACTCACCTATACTGTTCCTTTGGTCCTGTCCAGCACTGTGTATCTGCTACCCACATAATTTCTAACACACCACTTCCTGCTCTTTAGTTGATATCCCCACATAGGCACTAGAATTTCTGTGATGCTCATGAAGTACCATGAGGCAACTTTTAGTTTAAAGAATTTTAATCAACCAGTATTTTTGATTTGTCCATCAGGCTACCAAATCTTTTTTTTACGATAACTAAGTCTTTGGTCTGGCATGTTAAAATGCAATTGGTAATTTAAGTTAATACAGAAGTTCATTATATTTTAATCACGTTCCTAAATAATAGTCCATTAAATAACTTCATTTATAGAGCAGGGAAGGAAAATCCTATCACAGTTGAGGGGAGAACTGTACTAAGACTTGCACAGCTTTTCATATGGGCTGGCCACGCCGTTCACCCGGTTACGGGGCTGAGAGGGAAGGAGACTTGAGTTTTCGTGTCTTCTGTGAGCTAAAAGGAACAGCACTCTAAAAGTACGTGATCCACAGACCATCCAACCTGACCACAGATGGAGATTATAAATACTAATCAACCTATATTGGATGTAATAAAAATATTCAAAAATGGCCTGTGAGGTGGCTCTGGGTAGAGGTGCCTTAGATGCCTGGATCCCACAAGGTGGCAGGAGAGAACCAATACCTGACCGTTGTCCTCTGAACTCCACACCCTTGCCTGCACACATAAGAATTTTTTTTTAATTAAAAAGAATACAAAAAACAGAAAAATGAAATACAGAAAGTTTAAAGCTATATTAATAAGCCACCACTTTATTAAACCAGGATAATTCCTACCTGCATTGTAAATACAAAAAGTTCAGTTCTTGCCCCTCAACAAAGAAACTCTTTGTAACAGAGACCACTACAGAAAAGCACAAGGCATCAAAATGAAGAGAATGAGTGATCGTGGGGTGCCTTGTTCCAACTCATCTATCAGTAACATAACTCCTGCACCCAAGGCTCAGGGGACATCCCAGAAGAGGAAGACTGTGAGGGTCACAGGACCAGGATGTAGGCTTCTGGTCTGTGAACCTGCAATGGTGGCCACACCGCTTTGGTTGTGGCTTCATGTGGATGGAAGCAGGAGGGAAGCTTGAGGCGTGGCTTTCCTTCACTCGCTCTTTCTGGTGGTAGGAAGGGCTGGGAAATGCTCCCACGGTTCTTCGTATTTTTCTGTGTAATTGTTCCCTAATAAACACCCATTTATCATTTATCTTGGGTCTAGTGAAATAATTACATCCTCACTTTCACCAGGAAGTCTGCCGTGAGATTTGTCTCCTAGAAACGTCAGGAAGGCCACACCCAGGAAGGCTCAACAAAACTGGAACAATGATACCACCAATGAACGTGCTAACGTGGAAGGGAGAGACCTCACGGGTCCTCAACCCTAGACAAAAAAAAACTATGGGCAACTGAAGATTGCTGAGAGCAGAAGTCAGTCTTTCCCAGGAAACAGCACTCCTATTGGCTATCTGATACCAAGTAGTCAGTTCTAAAAACATACAGACAAGTAAGGTTATAAGGACTGAGTGGTGTGTGTGTGTGTGTGTGTGTGTGTGTGTGTGTGTGTAAAACAATTAAAAAAAAGAGACTAAAAGCCACAAAGAAATTCAGAGACCAAGAATGGTGGTATACACCGGAGGAGTTGGTGGAAAGGGAAGGTGGAAATTATACATTTGCATTTTAATTTCATAGATATTTTAAAAACTGTATTAATGAGCCAGGAAGATACAGTGGTGCACGTCTTTAATACCAGCACTTAGGAGGCCAGCCTGGATTATATAGAGTTCCAGGTCAGCTAGAGCTACACAGTGAGACCATGGGTCAAAAAAAAAAAAAAAAAAGAGTTTTCTCATTGATGAGGGAAAGGATCCTACCTGGCTCTGTGAGAAGAACTGACTGAGGAAGATGATACACTGAGTGAAGCATTACTGCAGCTGCCCACCCTGCCCACAGGAGGCAGGCCCAGGGACACAGGGAGAGCACAGACAGCAAGTTCTATCACTGCCTTTGTAATGAAGAAATTCAGTCTCTGCTTCTCTACAAGATGCTTTTAACTCATAAACCTCTGGTAACATAAATGAACAAGTCTACAAGAATACAACCACTTCATCACAGGGAAACTCAAGATATATTTGTGACGGTCGGCCTGAGCATCGAATGCTAACTTTTCCTTGAGTGAAGATACCTAACAGAGTTTTCTAAAGCCTTCGTCCTACACCTCTGTGCTGTTGCGTTTTATGTCACTGTGAAACAAGCTACAGTCATCAGAGGTAAGGGAGCCCAGTTGAGAAAATTTCTCCAAAAGATTGTGCTGTAGGCAAGCTAGTAAGGCATTTTCTTCATTACTGACCGATGTGGGAGGTCCCAGCCCACTATGGGTGGGGCAATCCCTGGGTTCTATAAGGAAGCAGATAGAGCAAGCCAGGGGAAGCTGCGCTGAGTGACCTTCCACAGCCTAAAGGGACAGAGCAGCTTTGAGTTTGCCCAGAATAAAACTTTAGAATCAAACCACTTTAGCCTATAGAAGACTTTTTAAGACTTGCCTTGGGGTTCTCAAAAGCCCTTTTGATGATAGAGATCAACAGAATTCCACCCCACTTTCTCTGATCATAAAAGCATGTTTTTTTAAACTGTTACTTTTTAAATGACGTGAAACTAATGAGAAGCGGCTGCTCTTAGCCTCGTCCTCTCTGGAGAAGATGACTCTGTGCTTCACCACCTTCTGCCAGGCCTTGCAGAGATAGGCTCTGTAGTCTGTGTCTCCGTCACCTGGGAGCTTGGAGGAAGCAGGCTGCTCCGCTGAGTCAGAGGCTTTCTGCATTAGACTTTGTGTTGTTGTGAAAAGCACCAAGCGGTACTCAGTGACAAGCCTCTCTAGGAGCTGAGAACACTTCTTCAGAGTGGATTCCTGCAGGGCCACACTCTCTCCTCCACTGGCGCGGTCTGTCCAGTAAAAAGCCGACAGGCTATCCACAATGAGAAGGCAGAGAGAGGGGTGACTACAGAACAGGGCTTCCAGTGAGTGCAGCGTGAGCAGTAGCTGCAAGCTGCTGCTGCAGTAGGCCAGGAACAATCTTCCCAGGCAGAGCTTGATGGTCTCCTCGGAGCTTCGAGACAGTCTGTGCTCGAGCACTGTCACAAGCCGGAGCATGTCAAAGTGGTAATCTGTGTCAATAAATAAGACTTCTATTTGCAGTCCACCCTCTGATTTTGGAAGTATACATCGGGCTGTTAAATGATAAAGCATTTCTGTTTTTCCTGTTCCTTCTGGACCATGAAATTCAAGAACATCACCTGTGTAAAATTCAGAAATGTTAGTCAAGATGCATCCATGCAACAGTGGGCCACAGAACAAGTCTCAGAGAGCTTTACAGAGAGATGTACTGGGATCTGAGGTAAAAATCCAAACCCACTTGTTAACGTGGATCTATCTGCATAGGCAAATGCAGATAAACAGGCAAATTCATACAGGATCTCTGATAAGGAGCTCAGTTTTAAAAGGTTTCTCTTTTGGTTGGCACTGAGGATGAAATGATGGCCCTCAGATGTGGTAGGAAATGACACTTCCCACACCCCCATCCCAGGAGTGAGAGATTAACCAGCACCAAGAAAACACAAAAACAGCGAGAGGGCTGAAGCTGTGCAAGGGAAGCTCCTAGAGATGGAGCCTGGTTGTCTCTGGGTCATTGTGACCTCACTGTTTTTAGTGGTTGAGCCTGAGTTCAGGTCCCAAAGCCCACATAATGCTGACGCAGTGGCACTCTTGTGGTGAAATGGTGGAGACAGAAGCCCCACAAGCTTATAGTCTACCTGGCCTGCTGTAGGGAGGAGTGCTGATGAGGTCCTGCCTCCAAGTGAAAGGTGAAGGACACAGCTGACCACACAAAAGCACAAGGTAGAAACCCACAGCAGGCTTCCTACGTCTCTCAGATCCTAACACTTGTAGGAAAAGCCGCACTAGCAGCTGATGGCCAATCTTGAGCAGCACTGACTGGATTAGGAAGTGCCTGGCCAATGAGTAACAACTCAGGGCGTGTCTAGGGAGACTGGCTCTCAGGCCAGGTCAATCTCTTGATGACCTCATAGGATGGCATGATTGGCAAGTGGGAAAAGCAGAAGGTGGGACCTAGCTGAGGAAGCAAGTCACTGAGGTGTGTCTCTGGAGGATATCTTATCCTGGCTACTTCCTGACCTCTCAAAGTGAAGAACAGTCTTTCCACATGCTCTTACCATGATGGTAGTACTGGGGCCAAGTGACCATGGACAGAACCCTCTGAAACCATGAGCCAAAGTGAATATTCCCTTCTTTAAGTTGTTGTGTCTTAGAGATATGAAAGTAACTAATACATCTCCTGGTTGCATTTCCTATTGCCTTCTTGTTGAAGGTTGGTACCTGAATATTCTAACCCCAGGAGACACAACACACCAAAACCATACATTAAGAAATGCCCAGTGCTGGGGCTGGAGAGATGGTGGTTAAGAGCATTGACTGCTCTCGCAGAGGACCTAAATTTGATTACCAGTGCCGCCATGGCAGCTCATAACTGTAACTCCAGTCTTAGAGGATCTAACACCCTGTTCTGACCCCCATGGGTACTGCATATATATAATATAGACATTCATGCAGGCAAAACACTCATACACATAAAATAGGAAAAAAAGGATAATAAAAAAATTTAAAAAGTTTAAGGTTACACCCTAAGTTGAAAGAACAAGTGCATAGATAATGCCACTTCTCTGTTACAGATTAATGGTACAGAACACCATACCTGAATGCTGTCTCTATGTCTTCCAAAAAAACCTAGCACCCTTATCTAGCTGAAGTGCTGAACATGGCACCTTGAAGTGAAGAAGAAAATAAGAAGAAAAGAAGGAGGAGGAAGAAGAGGAGGAGAAAAGAAAAAAGAAAGAAGAAAAAAGAAACAAAAACCCTGGAGCTACAGCTGGGGTAATGGTTTGACCCTGACAGTTCCTCTTCTATATATGCTAGGAGGAGGTGGGGCTAACAGACTGAGGTAAGAGTCAGAGCTACAGAGCCTTTAGAATACCTAAGAAAAAGGTCACAACAATCACCAGCCTAACTGTGTAGCCAAAATACTGAATTTGCAGATCATAATTCCTAGTTCTGAGGACTTAGAAACTGGGCACTGCAAATGTGTTAAGATGCTTCCACAGCGCAGAGCCCAAGGATCTCACTGCACCATAAATTTCCTGTAACAGATGCTGGAAGTGTTACTGACTTAGAACCCCAGTCTTGGGTGTGTAGTGTGCCCACTGAGTTCCTGTTTAGTTTTACAGCAAATATAAATGTAAGCACACATTTTTGGTAGTGACTAAACATGATGGTGTTTCTTAAAGTTTCTATAATATTTGATGCAAAGAGGTGCTACAAAACCTTGCTCGACACACAGTTGATTTCCTAAGATCTAACTCACGAGTACAAATCCGTGTGAAATGACACGCTTTCCTATGGAGCACTGGGGCAGAGATCTAACTCACGAGTACAAATCCGTGTGAAATGACATGCTCCCCTATGGAGCACGGAGCAGAGATCTAACTCACGAGTACAAATCCGTGTGAAATGACACGCTCTCCTATGGAATATGGGGGCAGAGATCTGCTGTACCTGCAATCCCATGCTCCTTTGCATGGGAGGAAATGACAGCAAACAGCTGCACAAAGGCAGCACAGGCAATGGGAGTGTGCAGACAGCAGGAAAAGAGTGCGTTTGTTTGTGTCTGTCACTCTTCTATCTGGTAACTGAGCCACAGCTGTGCGCACTGGAGCTGCTGAGCCGCAGGAGGATGTAACACTCACCTGGTGACATCTGGGGCCAGCTGGACAATCAAATAACAAATCAAGTTGTTTCCTTGCCTTAGTCATCAAACTGTTTTTCTTTCTAGGAAACTTAGTGCCCGCCCTTTCACTTCCATTCACCAAGCACAGTTTTTGACATTGAGACTCCTAAAATAAAGTTCCCTTTTGAAATATCCACATTAAAAAATGAAAGCAACAAACACCCTCAAGTTGGGTGTTCTGATAACACTTTAATCCCAGATTAAATCCCAGATGCCTGAGGGTCAAACCTCAGCTACACTTTGAATCTTAGGCCGCCTTAGGTTCTAAGAAAGCCCACACTCAAACAGAGAAAACCACACAATCCTAAACCTGAATTACTAGTTTCAATTACTTTCATTCAGTAAAATGAAATGTTTTGGTGGGCACACAATGCATAGATGTAATGGAAAGAGCACAAAGAAGGATGAAGAATAACTAGACCTCCACAGTACTGAAGGGTTAACAAGCCATTCAAGTTAAGGTAACATCAATCCAAACCAAACCGTTATGAATTAAGATACTAATTAATGACTAGGAAAAATAGTTTTAAAGTATGAAAGAGAACGGCAAGGGACTTAAAATAGTATAGCAGAGGAACTAGAGAGATGGCTCAGCCGTTAAGACCATTGGACCTAGGACCTAGGACCAGAGGACCTAGGACCCAGATGGTGGCTCACAACCACCTGTAACTCCAGCTCCAGAGAATTCAACACCCTCTTCCAGCCTCCATGGGTACAGACATATAGGCAGGCAAAACATCCATACATTCTATATGAAACAGACAAATGTATATGCGTGGGAATATGCATGAGGGGCAAGTGCTTAGGGGAGCCAGGAGCATCTGTTCTCCTAGAGCCGAGATGGTTACAAACTGCCTGATACGGTGCTAGGAACCAAACTCTGGTTCTCTGGAAAAGCAGTCCAAACTCTTGACTGCTGAGCTATCTCCCCAGTCCTGGTTCTTCAGTTTTATTTTAGTGTCCGACAGGATTCCTTTGTAAGGCAGAGAAGTATTTCACTGTATGCACAGACCACTTCTGTTTGTTTGTGGGTGTGCATGTTTGAAGGTGTCATATTGTAGCTAGGCTAGTCTCAAACCTATGGTGACCCCTCCTCAGTCTGTCCATCATGCTGGGATTACAGGTGCCAGGCTCTGCACAGTGTTATCCCTCCAACCATTGATGGACATTTGTTTGCTTCCATCTATCTCACGGCTGTTTCAAGATGCAGCATCATATCCTCACTGCCTTGCCAACACTTGGATTTTTGCTTTTGTTTTAAATTATGTCATCCTAATGGGTATGAGGTATAAAGGGCATTTTATAATCATGAATGGGTCAGCCAGCTATAAGATATATCGATAATAAACTTTTGTATGGGCAATACTCAAAGACCTAAACACAGGAAGCCAGATAGATGGAACTGAAGGGAGAAATAGCTAACAGCCCGAGATGTCAATAGTTTACCTAGAAAATGGAATAATAGAACAGCCACAAGAAAGTGCAGCAAAGAAGCAGAAGTTGGCACTAAAAGCCAGCTAGAACCAAAAGTCATCTAGAGAGCACTTGGCCCAGGCACACGAGAATCTTCTACCGTGCACATGGAGTAGTCTCTCGATTAATAAACTACCTGTCAGGCCACAACACAAGCCGTAGTAAATTTAAAACGGCTGAAATCAAAGAAGCATGCATTTCCAACCAGAAAAGAATGAAAAAACAAACCAACGACAAACTAGAGATCTTTTTGTTTAGTTTTTGAGACAGGATCTTGCTACACACAAGCTAGCCTCAAACTTTGAACTTCCTGCTTCAGTCTCCTGAATGCTGGGACCACCAAAATGTACCAGTATGCCTGGCTGTATATTTTCCTGACCTTGGAATAGGGACTAAAGGCCTTGTACATGACACTAAAATATGAGCAACAGATGGGACATTAGAACCTCAACAAAATTAACAACCCTGTACTTCAAAGGAATCAACACCGCCCAGACAACAGACAGGGTGGACAGCACACTGCACCTTCATCTACCAGATAAGCATCTTTTACCTCAAGTATGCAAAGGCCACTACAAGGCCACAATAAAAAAGGAACTTGGTTATAAAAATTAGCAAATACCTGACATTTCTACTCAAGGGAGGGCAAACTGTGAGCAAGCTCAGGTAGAAGCAACACCGCCAGCCGCCAGGGAAGGGTAAGGCAGAGGCACAGCGGGCTGTCACTCCAAACTGACCAGGATGCCGGAGCCCAGAGACATACAGAACAGACACTTTACTGATGGTCACAGGTAAAATGTGAAGCTGCTCTATAATCACTTAGGCTGTTCCTCCAAAGATGAACCTAACAATCTCCCTTCTAGGTGTAATCCCAAAGGAACTCAAACCCTACCTATCCACAGAAAAACTTGTACATGAAACCATGGCAACACTGTTCATAGCTTCCAAAATTCAGAAGCACTTCAAATGGCTACCAAGTGGTAGTGCACCCACATAGTGGGACTCTTCAGCACTACGGAATTGGCTTCTGGACTGGAGGAATGGCTCAGCACTTGCTGCTCTTGCAAAGGATCTAGGTTCCATTCCCAGCACCCACATCATGGCTCACAGCCATCTGCAACTCTGGTTCTAGGGGATCCAACGCCTTCTTCTGACCTTGGCAGGCACCAGGGGTCCACGTGGTACAGAGACACGCACACTGGGAAAACAATCACGTGCATAAAATAAATAAATCTTACAGGGTGAGGAGGTGTGCTGCAGATACAGGCTACAAAGTCAGATGTGAAGAAGGGCCACCTTAATTGCACAAACCCTCCAGAAGGGCAAGTCCACACAGAAAGCCGGCTCTGACGGCCTAGGGCTGACTACTAGTACAGATGGGTTTCTTTCTGGAGAGGCAGTTACACAACTGTGTGACTCTGCTAAAGACAACTCAATTATACACTCAAATTCAACGCATTACCCTGAAACTAAGCTCGAGCACTCAACCTTCCCTGTAAGCTTTTCCAGTACCTAACAGGCTAGTACCTATTTTTCCTGCTGGAGAAATACTAACAGAACAACTTGGAACTTCGGGGTACCTTGCAGCTCTGCAAACTTTTAAATAAGAGAAAGAATAAGAACTAGGCCAAGCAGAATTCCCATGAATACTGTGTGTTGGCAAAGAGACCAGTGTGTGTACTGAAGATAGCATCCCCTGACAGACAGGAGGGCCTGGAGCTCCCTGTCCCGGGGTGTCTCACTTTTAGCCTACACCGCTTCCTGCTAGGACTATGTGTGGACGTGGGTGTGCAGGTACATCTGTGTGGAAATTGGTCTCACAGAGCTTCCTCCCTTAGGCTTTTCCGCTAAGCACTGTTTTACCATGTACTGGTGAATCTTCATCAGCAAACAGGTTGGGTTCTAGTTCTTTCAGGGAGCTTCTGCCTTCAAGCCGGGCAAGGAGCTTACAAAAGAAAAAGAGGAAAACACATTACTTAAAGGATACAACATCCTACAAATTATATCTCTTTAACACCATAACTTGAAGATTTAGAGGAAAATGTTAAAAGGAAAATTTAACTTAGGAGAAATATTATGTTTAAGAGACTTTATTACCTGTGTGTGTGTGTGTGTGTGTGTGTGTGTGTGTGTGTGCGCGCGCGCGCGTGCACATGGCACGTATATACAGGTGCCCCAGGCCAGGGGAGGGTGTTGGACGTCCTGGATATGGAGTTAGCGGTGGCGGTAAGCTCCAGTGTGGTTGCTGGAAACCTAATGTGTCCTCTGCAGGAGCAGCACACACTTTTACCTGCTGAGCCATCTCTGCAGTCCCTGGCTTTTGTTTTGTTTTGTTTTAAAAGACAGGGTTTTCCTATGTAGCCTTGGCTGGCTTGGGACTTGCTATAAAAGTCTAAAAAACTCACAAAGATCTACCTGTCCTCTGCCTCCCAAATGCTGGTGTTAAAGGCACATGCCACCATGCCCAATCCTGTTCATTTATTTTTAAAATATTTAACTTTTTATTTATATATCAAATCTACTGATGAAAATAAGTCTGAGCCCTCAAAAGAATAGATAGCAACTGTAGGGTATAAGGCCAAACGTTTAGTGGCAAACTATTTACCACTGGTGTATTTTACAATAACATTTTTTTGGGGGGGGTACTTGGACCAGTAATACAGTGGTCTGATTTAATTTGTCTCATTTTATCTAGACGGGAGGGATCAAAGGGAAAAGGCAGAGGAAATCTTCCCCAAGGAGCATTAGGCTCAGCTGTACTTAAAAGTAAGCAGGAGTCCAAGTACATGGGCCACAGGCAGGCGTAGCAGGCACGGGAGAGGGCGCAGCAAAAACGCATGAAGAGCATGGTGTACAGGCAAAGTAAAACCTGATTTGAATGGCAAGAGCTTGTTTCATGAAACAGGTAGGCTACTTGATTGTATTTAGAAACATTAAGGATGCACACCTTTGGGTGTGTCTGTGAGGGTATTCCACAGAGGTTATACTGAAGAGGAAAGAATCTCTGTGGATGTGTGAGGTCCACCACAGGGGCTAGGGTACTAGACTGAATAAGGAAAATAAATTGAGCTGTAGGGTTCTAGTTTCCTTTCTGTTGCTGTGATAAAACATTCTGACCAAATGAAACTCAGAGGAAGGGATTTAACTGGCTTACACTTCCAGGTCACAGGTCATCATTGAGAGAATCAGGGCTAGAAAAGCAGAAACCAGAAACAGAAACCATGGAGGGACACCACTTGTTGCTCTCTGCCTCATGTTCAGCTAGCTTTCTGTTTTTCTTTTTTCTTTTGGTTTTTCAAGACAGGGTTTCTCTGTGTCTTTGGAGGCTGTCCTGGAACTAGCTCTTGTAGACCAGGCTGGCCTCGAACTCACAGAGATTTGCCTGCCTCTGCTTCCCGAGTGCTGGGATTAAAGGCATGTGTCACCAACGCCCGGCTTCAGCTAGCTTTCTTAAACAGCCCAGGACCAGCACCTATGGGTGGTGCCATCATAGTGGGCCGGGATCCACTAATAAACCAGACAGTCCTCCATAGACAGTCCATTGGTCAGACTGTCAGACTGAGGCAATTCCTCTCAGATGACTCAAGGCTGTCCCCCACAAAAGCGAACACCTTGTGTCTTCCTTCATTTCCTAACCAAGGAGACAGTGGGACCAACCATCTGTTAAGGATAGGTTGTGACCAAACTCCTGCTGTCATGAGTTCCCCACCACGATGGACTTAAATAAAAATAAACTTTCTCCGTTAAGTTGTTTTTGTTGGGTATCTGGTTGCAGCAACAAGGAAAGCAACTAACACAGAAAACAAGGAGTGGAGCCTTTGCTCTAAGCCTGACCATGTGGCTCTTAGGTGTTTGGAGCTGGTTTGTAGGAAGAATGAATGAGAGTTTAGAGCTATGGGCAGAAAAGCTCTAGAAAGCTGTATGTACAGCTTAATGGGTCATCCTGGTGGGAATATGGAAGGCTGGAATGCAGACAGTGAAGGCCCAATTTCCATTAAAAATGGGACTAGAGGCCATTCAAGCTACATTCTAGCAAAGAATCAGGCTGCATTTTGAACTAGGGTGAGGCTGAATTAAAAAGTAATGAATTTATTTGTTTGGTGGTGGAAATCTCAAGACTGGACAACATATAGTCCATGCCCTGATTACAGGCATACAAACTGCAAGGGGGTTGTGGAGTCTTATGCCATAGTTCCAGAGAGCTGCCGAGATCAGCAACGCGTGGCAGCTTTAGAGGTCAATATGTGAAGCTGTGGTGATGAAGCCTAAGTTTCAATAGAGACCTCAGAAGATGCAGGGCCATGAAACACCCCCTGTGAAAATCCGAAACATGGCGTAGTTATGTGTGCTGCAGGCCAAAGCTGAGATGGAGGAACTTCCCAAGTCCTTTGGAGCTGTTGGGATATGACAGTCAGCCCTAACTGATGACATTGTGTTTTTGCCTGCCCAGAAATGAACTACTCTATCCCAGTCATTAGAGTGCTTAGACCTGAGTAATGATTTACACAGGTCCTGTGATCATTAAAGAAACCAATATGGAGCTGGGCGTCCCTTAAGGGCTGCTGATCTGCTCTGGGATGCCTGGGAGACCATAGTGGCCTGCAGGTGAGATAAGAGCAGGGTCAGGGGCTGTGAGGCCTTAACAGCTGCCTTTGCTTCTGTAAAACCTGCTATTGCTACGGGAAGACGTGGGATGGTCTTTTATCACTGTATAGCGGGGAGATAAGAAACCGAGGGAAGTAAGACGATGTTCCTGCCAGCTGTGGGTTCCATGGATGGTTGTAATACACACCTTTCTAATGCTTGCTTTAAAACCCGCCTTAACTCCACTTCAGCACAGCTCGCTGTTTGGCTCTAAGGCTGCCATCCTTCTGCTAGCAGAAGAAAAATTCATTTAACCTAAATTTGACTTGAGCCTAAGTCTTTGGTTTCTTCCAGTGTTTTCGAACATTACAACAGATTCCGCCAAGACTGCCAGGTACTAGATATGGAGCTAAAGGATTTAACATTTGTGTTGCTAGATTTCCGACTTGCTTTGGTTTGATCTTTCCCTGTACTCCCATTCCTCCCTTTGGAATGGGAGTGTTCACTCTGCACCACTGTATATTAGGAATATGTTGCTTGGTATCTGATTTAACGGGGGGGGGGGGTACAGTTAAGAGACACTAGCCTTTGAACAGAGTTGGAACTGTTAAAGGCTATAGGGATTCAACACTGGAATAAATGCTTATTTGTACTGTGAGATAGTCCTAAGTCTTGGGGGCCGGGGCAGATTGCCTGAATGTAAAATGCTCCCCACCGCCATGGGCTCACGTGTCTCAACACTTCATCTCCACAGCTAGAGATGAGCCTCAACTGAAGTGAGGCCTGGCTGGAAGAAGTGAGTCATTGGGATTGGACCTTAAGGCTTCTTGTCCTGTTACCTGTTCTGCCAAGATATGGAGTGAGGATTCCCGGGGGCACACGCCTGCCTGCTGCCATGCCTCTCTCTCCACGACAGACTGCACCCCTAAATGTCAGCTGAAATAAACTCTAAGTTGCTTGTCAGTGGTTACAACAAGGAGAAGGGTCACTAATATAAATGTTTGGGTAGAAAGAGCAAAAGGTTTGGACCTATGCAGGAAGAAGCAGTTTTCTGTAGTTGACAACAGGTACTTGGGACCGCAGAACCGAGAGGTTAGGCCTCTTCCCTAAACTTCAGGCTTCTCGCCCATCAAGTGAGGAAAGCAAAAAGCACTTCCTCTGTCAGGGACAGAGTAACTATGATTCAAATATGGGCTCACTGTGGTCATTTCCAACAGATCACCCTGGTGGCTGCTAGGGTAGAGAAGGTTGACTCTGTCACACTCCTCTGGAAGGGTGCTGCACCATGACAGAAGTAGCTAACAGGAAGCAGAAAAAAATGACTTAAATGTCAATGAGGGAAATGGAATCAAAGCCAGTTTTTGCATTATTAGGATATTTGACAGTCCTGGCCTCCATGGGCTCTGGTACACATGTGGCATACACACACACACACACACACACACACACACAAACAAAACAAAAAAACTAACCTTCAGGGTTAGCAAGATGGCTCATTGGGTAAAGACACTTGTCACCAGGCTGCAGATTAGTATCTGCCAGGCTTTATTACCATAACTACAGCTGCCATTTGTGTTTACTGTGTTATCAGTGTGTGTGTGTGTGTGTGTGTGTGTGTCTGTGTCCTTTAATTGTCTCAACAATCTCATTTATTGTTATTTTCTTTTTCATATGAGAAAACCTGTAAGTTCCAGAACTAGGATTTTCTACAGTGCCATACAACCTTGGAGTCACTGTCAAGGTCTAATGAAATCTCAGCATAGGTACTAAGAGTTTTTAGCCCTATTAAACAGGAGGTCAAATTAATCCTGCTGAAGCAACTGCTTTTCCCCTTTGAAGCCATCTTCACAGCTGAACAAACACTGAACTTTCCTAGCAACAGCACCATTCCTGCAGCACACACGTGCTCTGTGACAGGGACAGCACTCACTCCTCAGACGCTCATCTCTAAGTGTCCGATAAGCTGTGGTCTGGCTAGTCAACAATGGCTGTCCCTGACAGAAAAGCCAAGAATCAGGTGGTAGTTCAGTCCATGAGGCTGATGTCTCAGCTGGTCTTTAGCGTATGTCAGAATCCCAAGTAGGTTGTAATCCCCATGAAGGAGTGCCTCAGCAGCAGGGTAGATGGACATGCCAGTGAGTGAGGGCAAGCAGGCACACACAAGAAGCTTCCTTCTTTCATGTCCTTTTATTTGGGCTGCCAGCGGAAAGTGTGGCTCAGATTTAGGGTGGGTCTTTCCACCTCAAAAGATTCAATTAAGAAAAATTTCCCACAGGTGTGCCCACCTGCTTGAATTCTAGTTGATGCTAGATACAGTCTAGATGACAACCAAGATTAGCCACCAGAAGTCCATACAATTAC